GTTTCGCATTAGCACAATCAAATATTCTGGGATTCCCATTCTTCTCAGAGTCAGCCACAGCTTATTGTGATCCACACAGTCAAAGGCCTTTGCATAGTCAATGAAGCACAGATAGACATTCTTCTGGTATTCTTTGCTTTCTGCTAAGATCCATCTAACATTAGCTATAATATCCCCCGTACCATGACCACTTCTAAATCCACCCTGCACATCTGGCAATCCTCTGTTGACATAACGTTTCTGGATAATTTTCAACAGAATCTTGCTTGTATGTGATATGAATGATATTGTTCGATAATTTCCACACTATGTTGGGTCACCTTTCTTTGGGATGGGAACAAATATTGATTAGCACTATAGCCTTCTAATATTTGATTTTATGTACTTTTAATTTTATTCTTCTAAGTGGCATCGCACTGGTCTGTGCATTGCTGTACAGAGGTAATTTGTGGTTTCTGTGATATCTAACACTGTGACACTGATGTGCCAAATGTGATAATGGTTACCCATAGTGGACAGTGTTTGGAGGAGCTTCCTGATTAAAACAAGCTTGGAAGGAGTGATATACACTTCCAAAATGGCTTGCCTCTGCAAACTCTATGAACATGGAGAAACGATCACAGTTATACAAGTGTTCAAGTCTTTCATTCATAGGGTCAGTATGAGTCATCTACAACTCGATGGCACTTAACAAAAACAACACAAGAAAGAAAAATTTTAATTCTCTTTCATTCTCAAAAGTAGTTTGCCTGAGAAAGTTTGTCTCTTTAAGATTTCAAACTAAGATATTGTTTCAATAATGTAAAATTGGTTAGATCAACTTATCAGTAATTACATAGTATACTTAAGAAAAGGCAAACAAGTAGGAGGTAGAGATGGGTAACTTTTACTTTGTATTAGAAACTCTGGAATAAAGCCATCAGGGCTCACAGTAAAGATATGGTCAGAGAGCCTCAGGAAAAGAGACCAGAGGGCACTGAGATCAGTGCACAGTAGGGGAGTCTTTAGAGATAATTGTGTGGCCTGAGAGCCTTGATAGTCTATCTCTGGTCTACATTAAGAGTAAATAGTTTGATGCAAAGTGTTTCATAGGGATCACCTAAAAATAGCTGCAGTTTGAAGGAAATGGGAAAGATCAGGTGAGAAAAACAATATACAAACTTTGCAAAATAAACCAGCATAGAATAAAAAGGAAAGAAACCCACTGAAACGAAATTATATACATACATACATACATACATACATATATGTTACATATGTTGTTGTTGTTATGTGCCGTCGAGTCGTTCGCAACTCATAGCGACACTATGTACAACAGCCCTAAACCGTGTTCTATCCTGTGCCAATCTCATTGCCTCT